TACCCCCTACCTGCCCATACCTATGAACTTCCATCTTAAAATACTGTCCTTCCCAACCCATCAACATTCATTATCAGAAACTACAGGTGCTCAGGGCCTATAGCAAATCAGGATCATCCCATGTTCCACTTCCACAGGTAATTCCACATAAATTAGCTGAATTTGATAACTATATTATGTTATGGCAAAGAATATCCTTATTCTTACAATATATGTACCAAAATATTAAAGTATAAGGTATGAACTGTATGCCACTCTAATTGGTTCAGAAAAAAATTGCATATATAGTCAGAGAAAAAAAACTAATGAGGTAAAATGTTAACTATAGGTAAATCTAGACACATAGGGTAAGATTTTCTTTGTACTATTCTTTAACTTCTCTACAAATTTTTAGTTATTTCCAAATAAAGTTTCAAAAATAAATAATGGTACAATATTTGTTTTCACTTTTATTTTTAAGATTTGAGAATTAGTGCCTTAATCAAATATTTAAGGTCTAAAGATCACTTACTTTTTGAAATAAAAATCTAGTATAACACTTTTTTCTTTAAAAAAATAAAATAGGAATTATTCATTATTATTAAGGAATTATTTAAGAAGAAAGAAGAGAATTAAATAAGCATCCAATGTGTTCTTGGCCCTTTACAAATTTTCTCATTTATTTTCTAAACAAGTCTTCAAGGTAGACTTAATCCTCATTTTCCAAATCATGAAACAGGGCTCAAAGAACTCAGAGTTCCTAAAGTAAGTTGTAGAAACTGGATTTGAATCCAGATCTATTAATATTTATAAGGTCAAATCGAACATTCATTACTAAATATTTATATGGTATGAAAATATCAAAATTATCTCATTATTTATATGTAACATAAAATGCATTTATATAAAACACATTACATTTGCTATTAAACAAATGCTGGATAGTGTCCACTCTTTTCCTGGATCATTCTGAAATCATAGTTATCTGCTATCACACTCATTATTTTACATATGTCCCCTCTGGAGCTGAATCAACAACCAAAGAAGCTGAATCATGAAGCCAAAAGAGGAGGAGCTGCAGCAGAACCTCCTGACCACTACCCGACCTACCACTGCTGCTCACTTTGCCCACTGTACTTCTACTTTCCCACTACATGCACACAAGTGCACATGCATGTACATGAATAGGCATATGCATACATAAACATGTACGTACATCATGCATTTGAAATACTTTCACATACCCCACATGAAATTGCACTTAGTCCCTCACTCCCTGTATTAGTTGGGCTTTCCCAGAAACAGAACCAAGAGGATATATACAGATATATAGAAACATTTATTATGAGGGATTGGCTCATGGGATCATGGAGGCCAAGTCCCACAATCTCATGTTCATAAGCTGGAAACCCAAGAAAGCAAAGTGAATTAATTCCAATCCAAGCCCTAAATCTGAGAACTAGGAAAGCTAATGGGGTAAGTCCCAATCTGAATCTAAAGACCAGACAACTGGGAACACCAATGCTCAAGGGCAGGAAAAGATGGACATCTAGGCTCCAGAAAAGGAAACAAATTCATTATTCTTTGCCTTTTTGTTCCTTAGGACCTTCAACAAACTGGATGATGCTAACCACATTAGTGAGGGTCAATCTTCTTAACTCAATCTACCAATCCAAATGCTAATATCTTCCAGAAAGACCCTCACGGTCAAACCCAGAAATAATGTTATAAGCCACCTGGGAATCCAGTTGACCCAGCAAAGCTGACACATATTAACCATTATACCTCCTACCTGCCCATACCTATGAACTTCCATCTTAAAATACTGTCCTTTCCAACCCATCAACATTCATTATCAGAAACTACAGGTGCTCAGGGCCTATAGCAAATCAGGATCATCCCGTGTTCCACTTCCACAGGTAATTCCACATAACAATGCATTTCACTGATTTGAATTCCTTTGTCACATGATGATGTGATTCCAAAAAGAATTAAATAATATCAAACTATACTGAGAGTTTGGAGATCATATAAAATAAAGTTGAATGTAAGAAATATCATTTATCATATACTTGACTTCATCTTTTCCCTGCCATGGTGGCATTTGAATTTTTTCTATTACTTATTTAGATTCCAATCTCTAAGTTTCTCTCTCCTTTTTTCCAGCTTCTAAGTCAAACAGATTTTTCTCAGCAAAATAACCCTTCAGTTACTACCAGGGACAGACTGCTATGTGGGCTATAACAGATGTACAAGACAAGCTCTACAGGCATTTTAAAGGGTTCAATGTCAAGATAAAATTTATCTAATGTAGCATTTCCTCTCAAGTGCAATTTATCATTCCTTAGATGTTGAACCCCTTATAAATATTATATTTCCTTTTTTCACAAACCTAGTTTGTTATCTTACCCTTAGTTAAGGACAAGCTTTGAAATTAGATTGTCTCCTTTCATTTCTGCCTATCAATTCACTTTCTTTACTTCCAATTCTAATTTTTTCCCTTTGTCTTGAAATTTGATGTATATTCTAACACTTTGAAAACAATGTCAATGAAAATTTGGCACTTTTGTGGAAGCTGTTTGTTCTAAAATGCCTTTTAGCACATCTACATTAATGAAATGCCTCTGGGTCCTAGGAAAACTGATGTTGACTACAAAGTCACCCTGTTTGTGCCCTGGGTATGACAATATCTCTGATGTCATGAAGACTTTGCTGGAACTGAGCAAAGAGATCCAGTTGCTTCTAAAATTAGCAAGTCCAATAATTTTAGAATATTAGAGCTTAAAGCTGTCACTTCTGTCAGTGGACTCGTTGGTGACAAGACCCAGGTAAGACGTAGTGGTCACAGAGCAGGGTCATAGTGGCTTTTAGGTCCTGACCCATAGAGGACACCAGGCCATGTCACAATGGCATGATCAAACACAAGTATTAGGAATACAATAATCAGTGGACATCAGAAATCAGGGAGATGCCCTAGATGTACACTGGATCAGAAAAGCACACTGGATGGCGGATGAGGCCAATGCTAGAAACTGGCCAATGTCCTCTTTCAGTTCTGCTTCTTTCGTAAAGGCTCAGAAGAGGCAGAATGCGGAGACCTTCCAGCTGATACCTGCGCGGAGCAAGGTCACCAACAGGCCGCTCCTTGGGAGGCGTTCAGTGGTTCCCCAGCTGAAATTAATCACTGGGTCCCGGGGCTCCCACAGCACTGTTGCCTTACTTACTACCTTTAGAAACAAGGGAAGTGCTTTGTAAACCAAAAAGCACTGTGCAAATGTCAGGCGCTGGGGGCTTGGCAGGGGAGCAACGATAATGCATCTTTTCCGACATCTTGCTGAGTCGGGAACCAATTGAGAGAGCGACTCAGGCCAGCCAGAGCGACAGTCCGACTTATTGCGGATAACAGCTGGCTTGGGTGCAGGCCCCGGGACCTCCCCAGGACTCCTGCACCCAGTCAAGGCGACTGGCGCAGGCCCGAGCCCTGCTGACAAGGCAGCCCACGTTCCCAAAGGAGCACTTCCTCCTCCATGGCTACGCCTTGGGGCGGGGCCAGATCCAGGCCGGAAGTGTAACTGTGAGTTCCTCCGCCTGGAAACACCAAGAGGAAAAGAAAGTTCGTCCGCATTGAAGACCTTAAGTGCTTCATTTTCAGTAGGTTATGTATGCTTACCAGGTAGGCTTTGGCTTTATGTGGCAAGTGAGTGAGACCTCAGGGAACATATTCTTTAGTGGGAACTAAGTGGCCATACAAGCTTTAGGAAGGGTGGAGTTCATCTGGCTCCAGTGAGCAGGGGTAGGTGATAATGTAGTTGGCCCTTGGAGTATGCATGGAAGTGCACCAGGTGGAGCAGAGAAGAAAGGGAATTTGTTCCTAGTAAAGGAGGCATCAGGGCAAAGCCGGGAAAGCTGAAACCCTTTATGGGAAGAAATGAAACACAGATGAACACAGAAAGGCGTTTGAGAATACAAAGCTGTATACTATGCCTTCTTACTTTTCTCTACACCAAGGCTGAAGGTCAAATTCAGATTAATATCCATTCTTTTAATCTCAAAAACAATCAACAGTTTTCCTTGAGATCCTATTACCATAAATAAAGAAAGCTTTTGTAATTTGCTTTTCTTTGGGGAAAACAAAAAGTCTTAAAAACTGTCTTGAAGGAGAAACAACCTGTATGAACTCACAAATACAGTATTGGGGTGTGGTACCAAAAGGCACAGTTCAATAGACAGTAGAAAATAGAGGTGATACCATTAGTTACTCATGTTTCTTGAAATATTAAAGGACATCTACATTGTCTACAACAATACTTGAGAAAATACCCTTTCTTACCCTTTTTGCTTCTTTCGTGTTCCAAATGTGATCAGAACCTCTGTCTTCAACAGCCTCCTGGAAAACAAAACCTTCTTCACCTAGGGGAAAAGAACACCTCCACATTACTCACTTATGTTCTGACTTAAATATTCACAATATATAGAAGATATGTGAAATATATATATATATATATATATATATGTAGTTGAGAATATAAATTCCCATTCAGTATGTAGAGAATGTATTGGTTCTTCAAGACTGAAATTCATATCCAAATATATTTCCCCATATGTACTGCTTCCCATACATTGAAAAACAAAACATTTTGGCTGCTTCCTCCCAGTTTAAGTTTTTAGGATTCTCTTACATGCATTTGTCAGAATTATGTTTTTGAGTAGCTTCCTTCACTTGGGGGAATGAAATCACATCCATCTGTTATCTGAACATTTTCAAACAAGCTTTCCCAAAGTCGGAGGACAGTCCTCACCTATACACTCTAACAGTCAGAGTCACTTTCTCTAACATTTCCTATCACAGATACTTCCACAGCCACTCTCCTAGATTTAAAGGAGCCCCAGGACATGTCCCCTGCACTAGCTTCATTGCTTCTCCCTGTCCCCACCTGGCCTTGCTCATCTGCTCATGAGTTATCTGTTAAACCTCATGACTCAGCTGGGCTTCACACCAGCATCCCCAACAAGCAAACATCAATTGGAACTCTTGACCAGAATATTTCTAAATGTCAGCTTGTCCTCACCCTCCACATGGCTGTTGCTTCTGTTTCCAGAAGTCCATTGTTCTGGTGTGGCTATGACTCAGAGCACCCAATGGCTCAGGAAAAAATATATATCTCTCTCTTACAAAATGTCAAGGAATTGATATATTTAATAATAGTGAAAGATTACACAAAACAATTAAAACACTTAATTGAGAAGTGGGTGAGCAAACCATTCACCAGAATTAAATACAAACAATTAGCAAACTCAGGTGAAATTCTCACCCTCTCAAGTAATCAAAGCAGTACAAATTGAAGCGATGATAAAATTTGTTAAGACAGATACTTAAAAGACACAATGCTGTCCAGGTTTAGAAAGAGAGATGTTCTCACACACTTCTGATAAACCGATACTATCTTTAGTGAAAGCAATTTCAAAGTATAGGCTTCCAATTTTAAAATGCTATCATTAGGATAAAATGAGAATTAAAATGGATACACATCATTATTTGTATTACTCAAATACAAAAACTAGTAATATCCTTAATGTCTGTCTTTAAACAAATGGTTAAATAATTATTGATGGCACTGATAAAATTTTTAATACATAGGACAGTATATTTGCATGTATATGTAGCATAATAATGAAAAGTGTAGAAATACATAGAAAAAAGAATAAATGGAAATATATTAAAATTTTAACAATGATTGAGTTTTAATGATGGCTGTGGGTGACCTTTTATAGTACCCTAACTTCCCTACATTATTCAAATTTTCTTCAATAAGAATATGTTGTGTGTATATATAGTAAGGGAAAAACTTTTTAAAAGATATTTGAATTGGGAATCAAGAGTCCTGGCTTACAGTCCAAGTTCTGCCACTAAGGTAATTGTCGAGGTTTGGATAATTTATATCATCTCTCAGAGCCTAATTTTTCTATTCTAAAAGTGTAGTCGCTTTGTAATACATCAGTTTGACCAGACTGAGATGGTTGCTAAGATTCCTTTCCCAGCTAGGGCTGGTGCAAAATGGAGGTAGTGGAAATGAAGCTGTAGTCGTGTTGTTCTGCTGAGTATGTCAGTGCAGAGGACCAATCAGTTCATGTTCATCGTCACTTACCTGCTGGCCCAGTAGGACGCTGTGGGGAGGCAGTCAGACCTGAAGCTGCTCCACCTCCCCTCAGATCTTCATTCAGCTTCTCCAAGTCCTGGACCAGGAGTGTGATTAGCTCTATGAGGAAGAGTGCCAGCTTCTCCTGCAGTATGCATGCAATGAGAATTACACAGGTTTGGTTTGTCCTCATGGACACCAGCTCATGCCTCTAGGTCTCATCTTGTCCTAATTCTCCTGAGTTTTACATTTGTCTATATACTCTGCCCATTTTGCAGAATCCCAAACCCCAAGATCAGACACAAGACAACAGGCATAGAGAGACTTTTAAACCTTCTCTCACTATGGTAGGGTTAAATCCTACGATTAGTCAGTACATACTTACCTAGTCCATGAAGCTCTGACTGAACCATGACTGAAATAAATAGGAGGTGGGATTTATTTATTAAAGTCCACATTTCTATTCAGCTTTGAAGTACATCACAGCAATCAATTTGTTAGGATTGAAGTTTCCTTCCAGCCCTATACTAAAGGATTTTTAAAGTAAACTCAGAGCATCCCACCTGCATAATCAGTTGAAACTCCAGAGTGTCATCTTCTCTATCAAAATTAACATTTATGCTGGCTGGGCAGTTCAAGGGGAGGTGTCAGGCACACATGGCATCTCCTCTCCCCTCAAAATCCCATGGAAAAAAATTGGTGAAACTAATCCGAAAGGTGTAAACTGTAATCCCAGTGGCGCAGGAGGCTGAGATAGGAGGATCACGATATCAAAGCCAGCCTCAGCAAAGGCGAGGTGCTAAGCAACTCAGTGAGACCCTGTCTCTAAATAAAATACACAATAGGGCTGGGGATGTGGCTCAGAGGCCGAGTGCCCCGAGTTCAATCCCCAGTACCAAAAAAAAGGTGTAAACCCAAAAGCCAGGAGAAGGTGAGGAGTGCCGATACCAGATGAAGAGTTTTAGTGCGGAGCTAGGAGACACAAAGCAGATGGAAGACAAGAACTTATGAAGGGGACTGAGGGAAGGTCTCATGGAACAGAATGAAGGGGTCTGGACAATGAGATGACCGGTGACTGCAGGTACAGTGTGACAGGTGGAGCTGGGAGCACAGGAGTGAGAGGTGGCCTGTGTGGTGGATGTGTAGACAGTCCCCTCCTAGTTCTTCTCTACCCTGGTGAACAGGTCTGCCATGCCAGCCACTTCTCCCTAGCTAAAATTGAGAAGAGATTGGTTTTTTTTGTCCCCAATTTTTTAATATGGTAAAATACACTTACCATGAAAATTTGCCATCTTAACCATTTCTAACTGTGTAGTTCAGGGTTTTTAGTAAACTCATAATGTGATGCAATCACTACCCCCACCCATCTCCATACCTCTTTTCCTCTTGTAAAACCAAACTCCATTTTATCACAGTCGACAGTAACTCCCTGTTCTCCCTCCCCATGGCTCTTGGCAACCACTCTCCTACTTTCTGTTTCTTAGATGGTGGTTTTACTCATCTCATGTAAGTGGAATCATCTGGTCTATCTATTGTGACTGGTTTTTTCACATGGCCTAAGGTCCTCAAGGTCCATCCATGTTGTAGCATGTGACAGAATTCCCTTGTTTTTTAAAGACAGAATAATATATCATTGTGCAAACGGTCCCCAGCTTACAATTTTTTTCAACTTTATGATGCTATAAAAATGAAGTGCATTTGAATTCTTATTTTCTTTTCTCCTGCACTGATACTCCGATAGTCTCTTGCCACACTGGGCAGAGGTACAGCGGGAAACTGTATCTCCCAGTCAGCCAGGCAGTCCTGAGGGTAAACAGCCCCTACTCAACAGTGCATGGGTTGCTAAGCTATGGAGTTTTGGTAGGTCACATGTACTAAATGCATTTTTGACCTCTGATATTTTCAATTTATGACAGGTGCGTTGGGAATGTGGCCCATCATGAGTTGAAGGCTGTGCGTACATACTGCATCTTGCTTAGCCATTCTTGTATCAATGAACACTTGGCTTACTTCCAAGTTTGGCTGTTGTGAATAATGCCACCATGACCATATGTAAACAAATATCTCTTTGGATCCATGATTTCAACCAGGTATTTACCCAGGAATAGACTTCCTAAATCATATGAGAATTCTAATCCAGTTTTGGGGGGCCTCCATACTGGTTTCCACAGTAGCTGCACCATTTACCTTCCCACCAACACTGCACAGGGTTCCAATTTCTTTAAATCCTCACCTCCACTTAGTTTGTTTGTTTTTGTTTTTGTTTTTGTTTTTTAAGTAGTAGCCATTCAATCAATTTTTTAAATTTTTTAAAAATGTTCTCAACTTTAAAAGCCATGTGAGGAAAATTAGGGCAACTAGTCAGCAGTCCCACCACAGAGAAAGGCCTACATTTGATTCCAGGTAGGGGAACCGCAGTATGACAGCCTGCTTCCCACCCATCCCAGTCAAAGTTTGCAAGCAGCCCTTCCAGCCCTACCCATGGAGCTCCAAATTCACTCTTGTTATTGTTTTAGCATTAAATATAAGCAAAACACCTAATATTTACAATGTGAATTTAATTTAAGCAGAAAAAATAATGACCCTCCCCCTACTATCACCAAAGAAATAAAGATAACTTAGGGCACAGAAGAGAACTAAAAAAGACAAGCAAAACAAAATCTGCAAAACCGAGAATTACATTCTATGACTAAATGAGCCATGAGGGAATTAGAAAGGACTCTCAGAATTCAAAAGTCTGGCTGCACAATTGCAGAAATTTAAAAAGTGCATTGATAAATGTGAAAGTATCTCCCAGAGAATACGAAAAAAAATGGTTGGAAAAATAGGAGAGAAGTTTTAAAGGCAAGAGATCAATCCAGGAAGTCCAATATCAGATCAACCAAATGTTCTGGAAACTGAGAACAAAGAAAGCAGAGGGGAAGACAGTGTCGAGGAAAGGACTCAGGAGAACATGCCAGAGCTGAAGGAGAACACGAGTGGCTAGATTAAAAGAGAGCCCCGAAGTAAAGCCAAGGATGAACAGAGACCCCCAACCTAAGCATGGCATTATGGAGCATCAGGAGGTCAGGGATAAGAGATTGTAAAAATATACAGAAAGAAAGAAAGGAAAAAGAAAACAAAGGAACAGATCAGCATAACATCAGCCTTACCCCCATTGCTGAATCAGAAGCAGTGGAGCAGGACAGAGGAAAGTGATTTCCCACCCCAAATTCTATATCCAGGGAAAGGGTCAAATGGGCACTTTCAAGCAGTGAGGAATCCAAAAGCTTCCTCTCATGGTCCATTTTTTAGGATGTTCTCTGAAGACAGAACCCAGAAAAAATTAGGGTATGAAATGAGAAGGCAAGGAATCAATGAAACCCACAAAAGCCAACCCAAGGAACAGGGAGTAGAAACCTAGATCAGGCCCAAAGACAGAGGGTTCAGAGAATGAACAACAGAAGTACGATTTCAAGTCTGCAAAGGTCCTGGAGCTTAAAAAATAATCTTTTTGAACTAAGTGCTGGCCACCATCTCCACTGAGTGGCAAAGCCATAATGAGTTTTGACCCAAAAGAACAAACTCAAGTGTAGTAGTTTGCACGTCAGTAAACAATATTTACATGATCATAATAATGTAAGCCAAGCTTCCCAATTTGAGAATCAACGTGCAGAGGAATCCTGGGAAAATTCACAACGGTTGCAGAATACAGGGTAGCTGTTACCAGCCCTGACCAGGAAACGGGGGAGAAGTGGAAAGAAGGACTCACACAGGGGGTTCTTCATATTACAACGTGGAGACTCCGGATGCAGTGGCTGCAATAGCAATGAAGTCTAAGATGTCATTCAGAGCCACGTAAGTGACCCGGGGAAGAAGAAAGAAGAATACAATGTTGTTAAACCAGCTTATGAACCATCAGATCCTCTCCATTGTGGAAAAAACTGATACTGACAAATCAAGAAGCAAGAATAGAAACCTATTTCTATTATTATGTCATTGTTGATTTTAGAGATTATGAAGGTGACAAACCAAAAGGGCCCAAAACAGGAAAGGCTGAAAAGAGTAGTTGCCTTTTGAGAATGAAGGTGTGCTGAGCAGAGCTCTGCTTGGCCACCTTGAGAGGAGGCTGCCTGAGAGGGGAGCCAGGGGCTGTGAACAAGAGAAAGGGACAATCCAGACTTCTGTGAGAGCCAAGCTGGGTGTGGGACTCAATTTTCACTGGTAAGCCGGTGAGATCCACTTGGAGCTGGGAAGTTGCCACTGAAAATGCCCATATACCAGGCACGGTAGTGCCCACCTGTAATCCCAGAGACTCAGCAGGCTGAGGCAGGAGTGTTGAAAGTTCAAGGCTAGCCTCAGCAACTTACCAAGGCCCTTAGCAATTCAGTGAGACCCTGTCTCCAAATAAAATATTAAAAAGGATTGGGGATGTGGCTCAGTGATTAAGTGCCCCTGGGTTCAATCCCCAGTACCAAAAAAAAAAAAAAC